ATTTATAGCCTCAGAAACCCTGTACAGGGTTGCTGAGTCAGAACCGACTCCACGGCACTTAACAACTACTTCTAGAAATTTGTCCTACAGATAAATTGTCATGTACTGTCCAGTGGATTTTAACTCATAACAACCCTATAGAATAGAGCAGAACAGTCCCATAGGGTTTTCTAGGTGATCACTAGCTCTTTTCTCCCTCAGAGTAGTTGGTGGGATCCAACTTACAATATTTTGGTTAACAGTCGTTTCACCACCAGGGTCCTTATAGATGAACTAAGACATATGCAAAGTGTCTTCCTTTTGTAATAGCGACAGATTGGAAAAAACCTTAATGTCCTTCAACAGGGGTCACACTAAGCAAATTATAGTGCAACCCATTCAATGCAATTCCATGCAATCAAAAAGAATGTGAAGTTCTTTATGAACTGATATAGAACTTGTTATTCAGTGCTGGCTGTCGAGTCAGTTCTGACTCCTTGTTAAATGCTGTGCAGTAGGTTCTTGATAGTTAGCCATCTAGTGCTTATACTACAATGCCACACCAGGAATGTGATACAGAACTAGTTCTAAGTGAAAACAAGGCTAACAGTTTGTATAAGCTGCTACCATTTGGGTAAGGAGCTCTAGTACTGTAGTGGGTTGAGTTAGGCTGCTAATCGCAAGGTCAGCAATTCGAATCTACCAGCTGTTCCTTCAGAGTCAGATGAGGCTTTCTGCTCCCTCGAAGATTTAAGCCTTGGAAATCCTAAATAGCAGGGGTGGAGAAACTTTTATCTGCCAAAATTTATAACATCACTCACAAACCATACAAAATTATCAAGATACATTTGTAATTAACTCAACCCTAACGTGATGTAGTCCTGGTGTGCACTGTGGGTTCATGTGCCAGACTGTAAAATTGTTTGAACTGCAAGGTCGGTGGTTCACACTCACCAGCTACTCCTCGGAAATCCTATACAGACAGGGTTGCTATGGGTTGGAACCGACTCGATGGCACTTACCAACACACAATGTGATGGAGTCCTAGTGTGGCACTGTGGGTTAATGCACTGGACCACAAAGTTAGTTTGAACAGCAAAGGTCGGTGATTCAAGCTCACCAGCTACTCCTCAGAAACACGGTGATGAGTTGAAACCGACTCAACTGGCACTCAACAATGTGATGGCTGGAAGTAGTTGCCTTGGCAGGGCCAAACCAAATGATTTCATGGGCCTTGTGTCTTGTGGGCCAACTGTTCCCACCACTGCTTATAGGGTCACTCTGGTAGTGCTAAGGATAAGCACATGCCTACCAACCAAAAGGCTGGTAACTGGAAACTACCTAGCAGGTCTGTGGAGGAAAGACTCGACAAGCTGCTTCTGAGGCTTACAGCCAAGACAACCCTATTGGGCACTGTCGCATGGAATCCCCATTCCTCACCGTTATTGACAAGTACACACACACACACACACATGAATAGAGGTAAATACTGGTAACTAGTGGTACATGGAGGGGATTGAAAGCACTGTAATGAAACAAATATGATTTGTTGAATGTAGAACTAGTTTCATGCTCTGTAAACCTTCACTCAATTCCTAATGATGTTTCTCAAAATAAATAATACACCTTGTGTGGTTTTGAGGAATATTTTAACCAACTTTTGATGTGAATTACATGCTGATACAGAAATATTCAGAGTCCTAGTGTGCAGCTGTAGATTAATGCACTGGATTGCAAGGTCAGTTTGAATTGCAAGGTCAGCAGTTCAAACTCAACAGCTAGTCCTTGAAAACCCTATACAGGGTTGCTATGAGTCAGAACTGACTCAATGGCAGTTAATATACAACTATTAAAGCAAATGAGAATGGGTTGTGGGGTTTGTTGTTAAGTGCAGTCGAGTCAATTCCAAGCCAAAGCAACACTGTATAGGGTTTTCCAAGTAGCAGCTGGTGAACTTGAACCGCCGACTGCAGTTCAAGGACCTTGTTAGGGAGTCTCAAATAATGTGACATTCAGTTACTTAGTTTTCCTGTCAGAAAAAAGAGTAGGTACAAAGGCATCACGCAGAGAACTTGGTTAAAGAACAGCAAAGAGGCTTAGATTGAGGGCAGTGGGAGGGTAGGAATATCATGGAGGCTATTACAAGGATTTTTGTTTCCAGTTTAAGAGTGACATGATGGATTTAACAGGAGCCATGGGCTGGATCATGGTGTGGCACTGTAGGGTAAGAATCGGACTGCTAACCACAAAAATTACAGTTCACCAGCTTCTCCTTGGGTACCCTACTTAACAGCAACATGGAAAGCATTATGATGAAAGGATGGCAAGGTCAGAAGCCAGCCCTTCTTAGAGACAGGTGAACTTTCTGCATAAATCCTTCCACTCCTCTAATTATAGGCCTCAAATTGTTTTCCTAATTCATGCAATGGTCAAAAGATACAAGAGAAAAACTACTAACAACTAAGCATTTTCTGTTTCTGCCATCAAGTTTTGTTATTTACTTTTTAGTTAAAGGTCAAAGCATTTAAATGACAAAAAGATAACAAGTTCCCTTTAACAGACATTTATTCCTTTAGATGAACAACTTCAATACAAGCAGAACATAGCTTTTTAAGAGAATTTAGAAATGAAGTTTTTGTTTATGGAGTCTATGTTTTCTAGAAATCGTAACTGAGCCATGAGATCCTAAAATATGGGGACATTGGTTTCAGGAAACTTGCCATCAGATTATATAAAATTAAACTTTCATCAGCCGACTCAGAATTTGAGAACTGAGGCAATTCTGTATTTCCTATACACTCATGACGGGAAAGTCTAGATGTGATATAAACAAACCCAACAAAATGGTAGTATGCATAAAAGGTGGGCACACAATTGCTAAGTTGATTGTGGAATGATGAAGCCCAGGGCCAAGCAAGCTACAGTAAAATGCTGTGCCTTCAGGTGGGATACTAGAACTTGAACTGACACAAAGTATGACTTTCCTCAGTAGCTCTAAGTGCCAATAAGTTCAGCTCTGACTCTAACCTGTAGTTTCCTAGGAGCTGCTGGTGGGTTTAAACATCAATAGCCCAAGTGCTTCTTATATATATATTGCTACACCAAGACTCAGTGTGGCTCTATGGGAGTGGATTCGGTGGGTTAATCAAAAATCATTTAAGGTTGATTGATTGGGCTGAC